CTCCCATAGAATAGGGCAGTTTCCTCTGTATATGCTTTAAGAGAACCACATTCCTTCATTTCAGAGCACTTATTTCAGTTTTCTTGTGATGTTTCTTCATTTGATTTTCTGTTTTAATGTCCGTCTCCCTCTAGGAGCTCACTGGTTCCATGCAGAAGGCAGAGATAGACCTATGTTTGCTCAGAGCTGAGAATCCACTGGCAATGAAATACTCTGCAGACAGTAGGTGCTCAATAAATATTTGTGGCATGGTTGTATCAATCACCATCCTGACTTCCAGCCAAGGGCTCTCATAATGACATCAAGCTGTCTACCATAAAGAGTATCTGCACATTTTACCACAGGACGGTATTTTCGTGTTGTGTGTCAGTTCATCAAAAACCACCACAGGTTTTCTCTTTCCTAAGACCAGAACAAATAAGCAGATTTGGGCTAAGTGTCCCGTGAGCCACTTTTTTCTCTCTCACAATTTCCAAAGAAAGTCAACACTGAGGTACATGGAGATGTGAACCCTCAATGTTTATGTGTTTATGAACAGACTCTGCCCTGCTTTGGTCCACAGAGAACTGGAGGCAGGAATGGAGTCTGTTTGGCTGGTATTTGCTTTTCAGAAATCCAGACAAAAGCTTTCTGCTCCAGTTTGTACGATAAGCCCAAACACAAAAGTCTGAAGACAGTTGGAAGACAACGTGTTGCTTTATGACAGTGGTAAGGAAGACAGTCTCCACTGAGGTAATACTGCAGCCTTTTGAAAGACAGTTGTTTAAACAAGTTAACTTTTTCTTCACACTCACTACCTCAAAGAAACACTTTCAATATCAATACATAGAAAACACTTTTTAACTACCCAGATGGGTCTATAAAATACCCATATGAAAGAGAGAACACGAAAGCTCCTTTATTGAAAAATACCATTGAGCTTATATGACTATTATAAATTCTTCCATTATGTAGGTAAATTATTCATTTATTTTTTCATGTAAAGTATTTACTGAGCAGTTCCTATATACAGGCAGGGTTCTAGGTTGTGGGAATACAGAGTAAAGACCAAAGGACTCAAAAATCCTTTTTTGTGGAACTTGCACCCTAGAAGAGGCAAATAATAAACATAATAAGGTATAGAGTATGTTAGATAATGATTGTCAGGAAGAAAAAAAAATCAAGCATAGACAAAGGGTATGAAATATTAAAGGAGGAACAATTACATTTTAGAAGAACTAATAGGGAAAGCCTCTCTAAGACTATGACTTTCAGGCCAGGCATGGTGGTTCACACCTGTAATCTCAGCATTTTGGGAAGCCAAGGCCAGAGGACTGCTTGAACCCAGGAGTTCAAGATCAGTCTGGGAAACACAGGAGATCCCATCTCTACAAAAGATTTAAACAAAAATATCCAAGCATGGTGGTGCATGACTGTAGTCCCAGCCATTAAAGAGGGACTATTCACTTGTGCCTGGGAGGTCGAGGCTGCAGTGAGCTATGATCGCATCACTGGACTCCAGCCTGAGTGACAGAGCAAGACCCTCTCTTAAATAGAAACCAATATATATGACCACTGACTTCATTCCATTTCAACAGAAAATATAAAAGCTTATGTTGCTTCTGACCAAGGGAAGCATCTTACTCTCAGTCATCTTACTCTCTTCCCCAAGACTTTGCAAAAACTCCTCTATCTTGCTGGGGCACTTCACTTCCCACCCCACACCCCTGGGTCGGTGACTCTTCAAGACAAACAGAAACATCACCTCCGCACTATACAACATGTCCCTGTGCAGGGACTCCCAGAGTCTTGTTATTCACCTAGTGAGGTAATTGTTAATTTGTCTGCCACTCCAACTACAAACACATACACACACACATACAATTAAGAATGCAATTACAACTGCAATTACTATATAGCAGGCACTATGCTTCTATTATTTTCTTTATTCTTACAAATTCTTATTTATCTTATTTGCATAATCCTTGAAAATCTTAAGTAATCTTCTCAGGGTTAACACCCAGAAAGTGGCCAAGCCCATATTCAAACCTCGAGAGAGTACATCTCTGATGCTAAGGAGCTTTCTCAGCATCCAGCTGCCTACCGATATACTAAAAACAGATGATGGATGTGGTAAGGTTATATGTGAGGCTCTGAAGAACCTATCACTCAAAAACTAGCTCTGCCCTTGAGCTCGAACTCAACCTGCTAGGTCAGAGGCCTCACCATGGTGACTCGCAGGAGCGCCTTTCAAAGAGCAGGTGTGCTCATAAGTAAGTAATGCTTCTCAGCCGGTTCCTGGGGAGAAGCTGGGAGGTGAAGTGGTTTAAAGAGTCGGATGTGGAAGAGTGTGCGCAGAGATAAAACACTGTAAAGCACCGGTGGGCATCCCGATACAGATCATCTTCGCACTCAGCTTGACTCATAATCTGAAGCCGTCACCTGAAATGTATTTTTGGCTACGCTACAAGCCAAGATCCTCCAAGGCTACGCTGTCATAATTCAGGAGCATTTTTCTTTAAAGGGAAATAGGTATGATGGGAAATGTTCGCAGAGAAGTTTTCCAGAAAATAAACTCTATTTTAACAATTATTTGGGAATTGGTCATGGTAGGACGCCGTGAAAAGCCTAGATAAAAACCGTCACTAAGACTCAAAGGCATTTTGGCTATTTCAAAATCCTAGGGTTCACTGGCAACATTTCTGTCATTCAGAGAAGCATGAACGTCTCATGTGTCAATAAGTCACAAGAAGATGCTGAATGCCCGGCTGTTTACCTCTATCTCTATTACTACATGTAAGGAATGGAGGTGAAATCAGTTATCAGATTCTGAGTCCTAAGCAACCCCACGTTAATTACTTTTTCTACCCAGATAAAAACGAAATGTTCTCCTGGGCATAGCATGTTTTGTTATTTACATTATGCAAGGCACAGTCACAGTGATATACCTTCATAAAGAGGTAACTAAGAAAAGCAAAGAAAAAGCATCCATTATGTAAATACGCATGTATTCCCAGAATTTCATATGGTATGAGAATGTCTTGCCTTAGGGCTGATTAAAGAAGTTCTGACTATCCAGAAGCAGGCATTTAAAGACTTTACATTCCATACTCGATAACTCGTAAGTGTAAATTACAGTTTAAACTCCAGTTAGCTGGTTCCTAATATGTAATAAGGTACAGTGGGTGAAATAATGGCCATTGGAATTTCCAATAGGATTCGAACTCAGGTAGATCATTTACCATTCTGTGATATTGGTTTGGTTTATTAATCCATCTAAAACCCGCTTTTGTACCTACAAAAAAGGTAAGATAATGCTGGTAAAGAAGCCCATATCCAAAACCCATGGGGCCAGAAGTATTTTGGAATTCAAAACTGTTCACACTTCAGAAACACTAAGGTATATAAACTATATGGTAAGTAACACCCTCAGCAGGGTCTGGGGCAGCACCCTGTAATCAATCACGTTAACATTTTTGCAGCAAAATATATGAAGTCACAATTACGCATTACGACTATAGTAGCCTTAAGTCGGTTCTGCTCCCTGAGTTTGTATCAAGGATACAAAAAAATCTTTCAGATTTTATATTTTGAACTTATGACAAAGGGAGTGCAGACTAGTTTTATACATATATATTTGTATCCATGCATGCAAATGAACATACGTATGCATATACTGAAGGGGGTGCTATTGTTAGAATCAAAAAGGTTGGTGCCCACAAAGTGCTTTTATAATAGTGTTCAACAGATAATAAACACTCAGTATTGGCCAAAATATAAGTTCCTTAAAGGCAGAGATCACTGTTTTGTTCATTGATATGCCTCCCATGCCTAATAGAGCGTCTGGCACATAGGAAAGTCTCAATAAATATCCATGTAATGGTTCATGGTATCTCCTCATGCAGGCTTTCTTTATCCACGTAGAACCATATGAAATGAGAAACATAATCCTTGGAGAGGCTCAATTCGTTTTGCAAGACAATAGGGTAAAAGCATTAATGCAATCAGAAGTTCCCGGTGAAACACAAAGAGTTAACTCAAGTCCTGAAGATCAATATTTAATTCCCCTGCTATTTTTCTTTTAAATCATTGCATTCGGGAAGTGAATAACATTGGCCTGATTCACTTCTAAACTGACTTATCAAGAAAATCAGTCATTGGCAGGCTCCTAATTGGAATTATGCCTACATGAAGATGTGCATCAAAATTAAAAGGAGCTTATGAACAGTGCTGAGGAATAAACACGTGGTCTCCAATAACCCACAGTGTGATTTTGGAAAGCAGGCAGCCTATGTCTACCAAAGAACATTTGTCTGACCTCCCAACAGGAGCAAAACAAATGTAAGTCCAGTCTAACACACACGCGCATGCGTGTGCACGCGCACACACACACACACTCCACTAAACTAAAGTTTTGATTTTGTACATTTGATTTCATCTGACAATGAATGAACTAGTTTTCTGCTGCAAAGTTTTTCAAATAGCACAGTGCAGTTAAGCATCTACTTTAAGAACTTCCTTTTCTCCATCCTAGGTTAATTATTGAAAAAACAGATGATAAAACAAAAAAGATAAATATCTACCTGCAATTCTAGATATCTGCATATCCTTAAAATAAAATAAAACAAAATAAACTCTCAGCAACTGAAGTGGTAGGAATTCAAACTGAGAAAAGATGCATATCTCTTCCAAGTACTATAAACTAGAGAAAAGGTTTGGCATGAAATCTCTCTCATGTGAATGAGAAAGAAGACGTTATTTGTTTACGCATTATATAAGCAGTGTTATATTTTATTGATAGCCGAGTGGAAGAGGTGATAGGAGAAGCTTTCCCTACAAGACCATTTAAAACTGTTACCTTGGGATGAATCCTATTCCTAACAGAATGACATGTAAACTCACTAACCATCTGTCCTGAACAGTTTACAGCTAAGTGTGGCCACAACTAAAAAGACTCTGGTATTAAACATCTTAAGACCACCAACAGACCCTGAAATTGAGATCTTAAAAACAAAGCTTACCCGGCCAACAAGAATCGGTTCAGGTCCAGAAAACTCTTCCAGGACAAACATTTGATTCCAAACCCAGCCTCTTTTGGAGCGGTTCAAAATTCGCTGTTCTTCACCCAGACTGTTTATTTCCAAAGGGGATCCACTCATTAAAACTTGAGACTGATTCATTGGAGCCATGTAAATGCAAGGGGGAAGAGTAATCCATAATATTATTAATGGAGTCCAGAGATCCAAGAGCATTTCCGCTAGCCGTTCTGGCATGGTCCCACCAGTGAAGCAAATCACCACGAAAATGAGACAATTATTTTTTTTGTCTCCGGTCTGCAGCCATCCAATTCATCATGCAGTGCCGAGCATTTACTTACAGCTCTGCCACGTGTCTATAGCATGGGAAACAGACATCACCTAAGCAGCTTTTCTAAGACCACAATCCATTGGCTTTTCTTTTCATTGAAATTTCCTGCAAAAACAAAGAGGAAGAAAGATAAGGGTCTGCTCAAACAGGTTTTAAAATAAAATCACTGCTTTTCAAAAGCACCTAAAGTGAACTATAGTGGCCACTTCTCAAACTCTTGGGTTAGAAAGTGGATCTGAATAATTAGAATAAGTAGGCTAGTAAGTCCTTTAATTTTTAAGCTTTATTTAGATTGTAATTTTCATTTGTAGCTATGTGACCTATCAGAAACGGTTCACGTAATAGAAGTTCTCCTTTTCCTTCTTGCTTCTTTCTTTCCCATCTCCCTCTCTTCCTTCTTTTCTTCCCCTTGACTTTCCTCCTCTCTCCATCCCTTCCTCTCTCTTCCATTCTTTTTTGTTTTAACAATTGGGAGTGTATGCTAACACAGCCCACTTGTCGAACAGATTGTAAGCCTTTTACTTTTATTTTCTTCTTTTTTTTTTTTTTTTTTTTTTTACCTGTTTAAGGACACATTTTAGTTCCTTTTATGTTAAACTCCGTGAAATAACTAGCTTTGAATTAACAACATTAAAAAAATACAAATGAGAATGGGAAGGGGAATTTAAACCAATTTTGACAATCTTAGCTTCCAGGATTCATCAGAAGGGATTGCCCAGTTCAGGGTACAGAGTGCAATCCTCTGCCAGGATGCTAATAATGAGTGAATAAAATTAGAATGCTTCCAGAGAAAAATTCTGTAATGTCCAGCTTGTATGCTATCATCAGGACAGTGTCAGGATCCACATTCTAAATGTACAGTTAAACAGGAGATTTAAATTATGGAAAGCTCCCTTGGGAATAAAATATGGTAAAAAAAAAAATGTAATGTTCAATTGAAGAGATTCAGAAAGGCAAGGGCACAAAAAAATCCCCATTATCTGAGGTGTCAGATACATTTTTTGCTTACCCTCAGTGTGGCAAAATGTGTTTCTTCCCTCTCAAAAAAAAACAAATATTTTTAAAGAAATACTGTTCACTGCAGATCCAAGAGAGAAGCTTTGCTGAATTAAACTCAATGGGAAAATATTTTCTCAGGACACCATCGGGAACAGTGCGGCTCAGGGAATTCATAAAAGGGAAGGAAACCTTTCACCTCTAGGTGTCTGTTTCCATTCTGGCTCAGAATAAGAAAGCTAGAAAGTCATTAACATTCGCTGGGCTGCTGAGTGGCCTCACTGAAGCCAGCTGAAAGGGGCAGACCCAGATTGTACTGCAAATACAGGCAGTATCCCATCTAACAAGATGGCCAGTGGAATCACCCTGCTTGTCATTCTTTGCCTGGGCTCAGCTCAGTCACTGGGACTCTATCACTCAAAAGGGCTCAACCCTGATGAGTATAGAGGAGCCACAACAAGCAGCAGTTGCTTTGGAAATGGAAGAAAAAAAAAAAACAGCTTTCAATGGGGAACCAATATAGAGAAAACAGAGTCCAGAACAAAGTCTTCTCCTTCCCCTGGAATTGGAGAAAATCTTCCCCCTAAAACAGATTCCCCTTAAGTCTTTCTCTCATGCCAGTGCGTGAGCAGACCGTGGCAGGCTTCAAAACTTAAACTAAACAAAATTCAAAAAGTCCCCATAAAGAAACCCCCACATCTTTGTATCTTTCTGAATGCTCAAGCCACTTATTAGTTTAACAGCATTTACAGCACACCCATGCTGTGCTCCCTCTAGACCTGAGGGAGAAGTTGGTGCTAAAGGAGTCTTGTGCATGCTGAGGTGTGTCTATTCTTGAAACAGATACACCTGGGTTTGGATCCCAGCTCACCCTGCTTGCTGTCTCTGTAATGATGGACAAGATATTCAAGTTTTCTGAGCTTCAGTCTTTTCTTCTGCGAAGTGGAACCAATAATAATTCCTACCTAATGGGACAGTAGTGTGGTTCAGAAATAAGACACATGTAAACCAGTCAGATCATGGGAAATACTCGGTAAACTGGAATCCATGTGGTTATCCTGGGCTAGATGTGTGGTGATGACAGGCTTCCTGCCCTAGAGAGGCTTTGAGAAAAAAGACAAATCAATGAGCAGAGTGAAGCGATGTAACCTCTGCAGTAAAAGTTGGTAAGGTATGAGGGTGTCACAAAGGTGCTCAAAGATCTTCCCTGTGGTGGAGGATGAGGATGGTGCTACAGGGGAAAGGCCTGTGCCATGTTACACACATGGTGAGATCCATTCTAGTCATAGATCCTCAGCCTAAAGACTTCTCAGAGAAAAGGAATTTGCTCTTTCCAGTTCTCCCCTACTCCATGATAGACCATAACTGAACGTGCAAAAGCCATGTATGCTGTTCTCCAAAGGCATAAGTTTTGTTTGTTTGTTTGCTTACTCAAGCTCACACTTACAGGCTCAAGTGATCCTCCTGCCTCAGCCTCCAGAGAAGCTGGGCATGCACCACCATGCCTGGCTACTTTGATTATTACTATTATTTTTATAAATGGGGGGGTTGATCTGGAACTCCTCGCCTCAAGCAATCTTCTCACTCCAGCCTCCCAAACAGCTGGGATTACAGGCATGAGCCACGGTGCCAGGTTGGCCTGGGTTCTACAGCAGCAGAACAATGAGATGGTTGTGAGAGTGACCTCTAGTGTCAGCCTGCTTGGGGTCTGAATTCTAATTCTTACACTGACCAGTTGTGTAACAGCGGAGGGAGGGATAATTAATAACAATAGCAACGAAGCAATGATAATAATACTGACCTGACAGGTTAGTTTTGAGGACTAAAGGAGATACTCTCAGCACGTCAGATAGGATAGACTAGCATGCACAGTTCTTTAAAATTTTGCCAAACACTCTGCAAGTAAGTATACTCTGGCATTTGCTTTGTTGCTAATGATTGTGAGATAAGAAAATTTCATCTCAATTTAAATTCATAACAGACACTTTCATGGAAACCACCAAGTGGCAACAAGGATGGACTGTGGTATGCTGGATGGACTGCAGCATAGATTATAGTGAGTTCCCTCTATCTGAACTCATCAGAATAAGTTAAAAAGCAATAATAGACCCTAGGCCAATGTTATACAATGGCATAGCTTGACTAGTCAGAATGAGTAGGTTAAATAAAAAGGGGATACGTGTGTAGTCACAAATAGTATCCACTAACACAGTATCTTACTGTTAGATAAAGCGTATAATGCCTTGCCTTGTTGTGTTCAAAACTGAGGCAGAGAATAATGAAATGATGTACTCAAGGAGCACCTCTAAGAAAAGAGAGAACCATTATTTGAACCTAGGTAACGTAATTTCAAAATTCTTTCTGAACAAGACCCTTCCTCTCATTGCAGAAATATTTCATGAGCATATACTGTATGTCAGGTACTGGGGGAAAGAAAGGCAAATGGGTCAGAACTCCTCTCTTCAGGAAGCAAAGGATCTGTTTGGCAAAGATAAAGAAATACATAATCAATTCACTGAAACGTAGTCTTAGAAGGTTTAAAAGAAACATAGGGTGATGGGTAAGCCATGCATTTGGCAGCATTGACGAATGTTTCCTAGAGGGGATGTCATTTAAATGTTGAAAAAGAATTAACCACCTGAGAAGGGGGTATAAGTGAAAGAACATTTTAGTCAACCAAGGGATACGAACAAGACCACCAACTAATCTAGGATCTCTGAATGAATCAGCATCTAAGGTAATTTTCAAATTATTATTTGCAGAATCACCCAGTCCATGGTTACCCCATCTTTTTTCTTACCCATCTAAGTCACAATAATGATGGTCTCTACAGAGTACCTGTTAACTATGTAGCCATTTCCTCTGGCAGTTCTTTGTGAAGAGAAGAGCATGTTTCGTGTCTCCAAAGGTCAAGTCATATACCACATAGTGGGTGTGAGGGGCAACTGAGTGCTATTTCCGTGCAACTTCTCAATTTTCTGGGGTTTCTGGGAGTGAGATGGCCAATACCCTGAAGTCAATGGTATAGCCCTGGGGAGAAATTAGCCCAACTCAGGGGAAGCCCTTCATCTACATAGGTCATTCCCGTCACATCACCTGTAGGGAGATTCTAGAGACTGAAACACTTACATGCCACCTCTTAGATTTTGCCAAATTCTTAAATCATCTGTATTATTACTTTAAATTTTACTGAAATAGGCTCAGTTTTCAAAATATTTATTTTTAAATGGAAAGCTTATATTATTTGCCGTAAGAGAATATAACTTTAAAATTACGATGTTAATAGCAAACACTTAGAAAGTACTCAGATAATATTAAATCATAAAGAACTATACATACATAGATATATACATGTAAATTCATGTCTGTTCTTCAAAATAACTCTCTAATATAACATCATTATTACTTATCTCATCATTCTCATTGTAGAGATAACCAAATTGAGGTACAGGGAGATTAGTATTTTAAGTAATGTTTTATTTTTACTAAACTAGACACTGTTAAAAGCCTTAGGTCATCTCACTATTTGCTAAAAAGAAAGACCAGCCATCGTTAGAGAAAGACTGGTTAATATTTAATAAGTGGCTCTTTGAAAGAAAAAATTCTGATTTGTAATGTTTTCTGATTTTCATAGCATAAATACTTCCACCATGACCAATTTTAAGCTTCCAGTTGACCATTAACCAGCTCTGAAAATTACTGAAAATTTAACCATCAGCTCTGTTAAAACCCAGTAAAGAGCCAATACTAGCACACCTGTAGTGAGGTGCTTCTCAAATATTGATATGCATCCAAATTACCTGAAAATCTTGTTTAAACATAGATTATGAATCACTTAGGTTAGTGTGGGATTTGAGATTCTGCATTTCTTGTAACCTTCCTGCAGTGCTGATGCTACTTACTGATTTGAAAACCACACTTTGCGAAGCAAGTATTTCTAAAGAAGACTGGCTCCCAGCTCAGACCTCCTCGAGATAACCTAAAGGACTCAGTGGTGTGGTGAAAGAGTCACTTCCTCCCTCATGTCATTGAATGTCATGCCATCAACTACTTCACCACCACTGTGAATAAAGGACTGAACACATAGATTTGGGAAAACCTTGAACTAG